TCTACTGTGTTCCACTTATTTTGCTAAGGTGCCACAACAAATACCAGTGGAGCATGGTAGATTCAGCTCAATTTTCAGTACATTCTGTAATAACATTAACAGCTTTGTTTAGTAAGAATTGATGACCCAAAAGTCATACATAATTCTTTTGTTGCCAAAAATTCACTCGCTATGAAGGCATTTATCCATTCATCTAGGGTTTATCAAGTGCCTATTATATGCCACATTGTGTGCCAGCGCTGGAGTTACATGTCCTATGGAGATACAAGGTGCATTCAGAGATGATGGTTCCTGTCAACTTGGGGAGCTCACAGTGTGGGAGGGAAGACAGCTAAGTAAATGAACAGTTAAAGTTCACCATGACAAGCGCAATGGGAGGGCATGGATTGGAGGGGTGGTAGGCAATCCACTGAGCCAGGTGCCTGAGATCAATTCCTTTTTAAGTTTTAAGGCCCAACTTATAAAAAGAAGTACAGTGTAATAGCCAGAGTGGTCAAAAAAATATCTCGGAATGTCTCCAGCTCTTGGTTGCGAGACCCACCAAAGCCTCTGATCGTAAATAAAATGAATTATCTGGATAGTAGCCGTCTTCCTTGGGGGGTAGGCATCTTTCTCCCTCAGAAAATTAAGAAGTAAGTCATTGCCATTAAGCAAGATCTTAAGTAAATCTTCATTAGAATGTATATTAAATGAAATAACTGTGAGAAATGCTAATTATCTCCCAAAATCTAGTCTTCCGTTCTTCCCTTCCCTTCCTTGTCTAGCGAGGACTGCAGTTCACAGCCTGCCCTGTGGCTAAGGGTACAGGTACATGAGGGGCCTGTGAAACTTCTGATCCGAGTTTTTAAAGAGGAAGCTGACTGGCCCTTATCCCCTCTCATCCCCCAACCTGAGGGCTAGAATGTGCATGAGGTTGACAACAGCAGCGGGGGTAAAAGGAACCAGCCCCTACCAAGAGAGTGAACGAGGGGCGCCTGGGTGGCTCAGTGGGTTAAGCCTCTGCCTTCGGCTCAGGTCATGATCTCAGGGTCCTGGCATCAGGCTCTCTGCTCAGCAGGGAGCCTGTTTCCCCTTTTCTCTCTCTGCCTGCCTTTCTGCCTACTTGTTCTCTCTCTCTCTGTCAAATAAATAAATAAATAAAATATTAAAAAAAAAAAAAAGGAGAGAGAGAGAGAGAGAGTGAACAAGACGGGCAGAGAGGAGATGAGGGCAACACACAGAAGGGAACTGGGTGCCTGGATGGCCTTACACAGCAGAACTGCCTCCCTGAGAGAGAAAGAAACTTCTAGCTTTTTGCTCTGCTGCGGTTCTGGGTCTCTGTTACAGTAGCTCTCTACATTAGCCTCTACCCTCCATAACACAGTAACTACGTTCCCTCAGATGCTCCACGTCTTTGAACCCCAGAAAGAGGTACAATTACGGAACAATAATTTAGGAACTCAAGAACAGAGCAGTCACATTTTGTGTTAAGGAATCTGCACATACTTTATGTAATGGCAATATTTTAGAAATCCCAGCGTTGGTTTTAAGCCGAAATCTTACTACATAACAAGTAATATTAGCATATCTAAGAAAACATCAAGCTTACTCTAAGTTTAATAATTTATAAGAATTATGTAAGTGTTCAGTAAGATGATGTTTGGTCACTCAGATGACTTATGTTATCTAAAAAGAAGTTGGTTTGGGGAGGCAGAAGGTAGGGGCAGGGGAGGTAGAATGCGTGGATAGACTCTGGGGGCTCACATAGGTACATGTTCCATTTCCATACTCAGTGGTGAATTCGTGGGTATTTATCATATAATTTCAAATTCATCAGCGAATGAGGGCCATGCAATGATGAGAGTACACTTTTGATCAAGGATTAGGATTAACCCAAGTCTGTCCGGCTAGAATCCAAAAATAAAATACGGTGGTTTTTTTGTTTTTGTTTTTTGTTTTTGTTTTTGTTTTAAAGATTTTATTTATTTATTTGACAGATGGAGATCACAAGTAGGCAGAGAGGCAGGCAGAGAGAGAGGAGGAAGCAGGCTCCCTGCTGAGCAGAGAGCCTGATTCGGGGCTCGATCCCAGGACCCTGGGATCATGACCTGAGCCGAAGGCAGAGGCTTTAACCCACTGAGCCACCCAGGCACCCCAAAATATAGTGTTTTAAGATATTTGAGCTTCTGAACAGGACAAATATTATTCAGAAATCCCATTAACCGTGATCACAAATTTTTGCTAAACTTCTAAGAATGGTAAATTAGGACTTAAAAGCCCAAATCGGGTTTGGTTTCCAATTATGTTACCATGAATGGATTCTTCATAGGTTTAAAAAAAAAAAAAAAAAAAGCCAAGTATTGGCACTTCCACAATTCAACCTAATTGATAACTTAATTTGTAATTTTAATACACTGAAAATCATTGTTTTAAACAAAAAGGAACTTTCTGAGTAGTCTTTTCCGCTTTAGTGAATGCTTGAGTTCACCAAAAAATTTCACATCACCAGTTGGCGTCCTTCTACTGAACACAGGAGAAGAGCCATGAGCATTGCTGGCTTGGCCTCGGGTTAATGTAAGCTTTGTTGTTATGACTAGGAAAAGGCAATGTCTAGATCTCTTTAAAACTACTAATGCATCCCTCTGGCTACTAGAAAGGGTATGGACACTGGTTAAAACTTTATCTGCCATTTAGCAGCTGATGGCTTTAGAAACGCCATTTAAGGGGCGCCTCGGTGTCTCAGTAGGTTAAGCGTCTGCCTTCAGCTCAGGTCATGATCCCAGGGTCCTGGGATCAAGTCCTGCATCAGGGCTCCCTGCTCAAATGGGGAGACAGCTTCTCCCTCTCCATCTGCCCCCCAACCCCCAGCTTGTGATCGCTCTCTCTCACTCACGCTTACTCTCAAATAAATAAAATCTTTAAAGAAAAAAGAAAGAAATGCCATTTAATCTTAAGGCTTCAGTTTTCTTCTCTTTAAAATGACAAGAATAGGGGTGCCTAGGTGGCTTAGTGGGTTAAAGCCTCTGCCTTTGGCTCAGGTCATGATCTCAGGGTCCTGGGATTGACCCCCACATCGGGCTCTCTGTTCGGGCAGGGAGCCTGCTTCCCCCGTCTCTCTGCCTGCCTCTCTGCCTACTTGTGATCTCTGTCACATAAATAAATAAAATTTTAAAAATAAATGAATTAAATAAATAAAATGACAAGAATAATATCATATAGAATTGGCTGGATAAATGGTATTATTATTATTATCCTAAGTCTATATAAGGCTCGATAAAACATCAGGAGGCTGCCCAAGGAAATGGAGCGCCACAGCACACTGACGGCTCTCAGGCCACCCAAACATAGTTTCTTGCTCTCCTTTAAATATCTTTACTATTTACTATTTACTATAGTTTACTATTTACTATAGTTTACTATATGTTTACTATACTATTTACTATTTACCTATTCAGTCTACCTTGAATTCTAGTCAATTTTTCTAGTCTTCCTGCTCTCTTCCTTTTCTCTCATCCCAATACAATGGCTTGAAGATGATGTTTGTAAAATGGAAATCCAGTGACGACGGCTACTATCGTCAGCAAAACCCCTGCTGGATTATCCAGGGGCTGGCAGGGATCACATGGTGGCTGAGTGAAGGCGGCGAGGCAAGGACTCAATGCAGACACCTGAAGGGGCTTAGGGTCAGACTTCCATGAACTTAAGGGCATGACCGTGTCTGGTGAGAAGCCATCCTCTGAAGCTTGAGCAACAGTGAGTTTCCTTGGATTTGTGTCTAGGAAGAGAACTCCGGCCATCAAGAGGAAAACCCATGGACACAAGACAGGACTACATTTCCACAGTTTAGACCAAAAGATCTGAAACGGAGCACGAAATGAGGAGTGGAAAAGAAGGAGGCGAGGGGAGACAGCCGGGGAGGGGCATCAGTAGAATTTGGACCTGCATGGCGGGAAGGATGCAGGAGATGAGACGAAAAACAGGTTGGGGTGTTCCTCTGAGACTCTCTTTTTTTTTTTCCCAGCAGAGAAATATATGCAACTACTTTTAGACAGGTTATGAAGTTGGAAGTGTTATCAAAATACTCCAGCGGAACTGGGTATTTACCCTAAAGATACAAACACAGTGATCCAAAGGGGCACGTGCACCCAAATGTTTATAGTAGCAATGTCCACGATAGCCAAACCATGGAAAGAGCCCAGATGTCCATCAGCAGATGAATGGATAAAGAAGACGTGGTATGTATATACAATGGAATACTATGCAGCCATCAAAAGAAATGAAATCTTGCCATTTTTGATGACGAGGATGGAACTAGAGGGTATTATGCTGAGCGAAATAAGTCAGTCAGAGAAAGATAATTATCATATGATCTCCCTGATATGAGGAAGTTGAGAGGCAACGTGGGGTGTTTGGGGGGTGGGAAAGGAATAAATGAAACAAGATTGGATCGGGAGGGAGACAAACCATAAGAGACTCTTAATCTCACAAAAAAAACTGAGGGTTGCCAGGGGGAAAGGGATAGGGAGAGGGGGGTGGGGTTATGGACATTGGGGAGGGTATGTGCTATGGTAAGTGCTGTGAAGTGTGTAAACCTGGCGCTTCACAGACCTGTACCCCTGGGGATAATAATACATTACATGTTTATAAAAAAAAAAAATTTTTTTAAAAAGAATACTCCAGAGGAGACATCTAGGAAATACATGGGGATAAAAGTTAACCACTCGGGCTGATTTGAAGAAGTGGAGGGACGGGCTAGATGTTCCTCGAGCAGCGCTGCCCAGTGCAAACATGACATAAGCCCCAAACACAAGCCACTCAGGCAGTTTTTCTAGCAGCCACGTTCAAAAAAGTAAAAAGAAACAGGTGAAAATAATTTTAATAATATTTTTTTCTTTAACCCAAAATGTCCACACAAAAAAACGGGGTCACAGAGGCCAGGAAAGAACAGGGGGGAAAATACAAATTTACTTTTGGTTAAGACAGTTTCCTTCTGAGACACAAGTTAAAAACATGTTACTCACGGTTTCTGAAGAGGACGACGGTCTCTGTAAACTCTCACCTTGCACCCAAATGCTCTCTGTCACAAATGCTATGTGCTCTGCCTCAAGTATAAAAGGAGACACAAGAAACAGGGCCCATTTGTTCAAGTCATCAACGGACTGGACAGAGGGAAAGAAATACACAAAAAGAGGATTCAATATCACTTCAAATCACAACAGCTACTTACATCAACTCGGGGACCTCCCCTCCTCTGTAATTCCAGGCAGGATCTAGATTAAGGTTACCAGACTCTCTCCTCCTACACACCACATTAACCCTGAGCCTCTGGTTGAACTGTGACTATTTAAACACCTGCAACATCCCCTTTTTTCGCAACTTTAACATCTCTAGGTATGTGCGATCCACCATTAATTCTGAAGCTGGGCTTACCCCCACCATTCCTTACTTCTTAGAGCATGAGGAGTTTCCCCAATCACAACTCAGACGCACATTTAAAAGTGGGGAGACTCAGGAGTGCGCGCTGGTCCAAAGCCACCCATTACTAATAGAAGCCTGGAGAACTCCTCTTCCACTTCCCCTAGCCATGATAGAGAGCATCGACATTGGTTATCAGAATGGATTTGTCCATTTATCTGTGCTCTCCCTACTGAAGCCTCTCTAAAAGGACAGTAAGTGGGGCACCTGGGTGGCTCAGTGGGTTAAAGCCTCTGCCTTCAGCTCAGATCATCATCTCAGGGTCCTGGGATTGAGCCCTGAGTCAGGCTCTCTGCTCAGCAGGGAGACTGCTTCCCCCTTTCCCTATGCCTGCCTCTCTGCCTACTTGTGATCTCTCTCTCTGTGTCAAATAAATAAATAAAATCTTTTAAAAATAAATAAATAAAATAAATTTAAAAAATAATAAAAGGACAGTAAGTGAATTTTGAAGGCTTTAACCCACTAAAAACAAGGCATATCCAGAGCAGAAAAGCTGACACCTAAGGGTACATGGGGTGAGCCCTTTCAACATCACCAAAACAGAAGGTCAGGCTCCACACCCCATTTACCAATTCAAACCTGCCCTTTTGATCTGGGAGGATCAAAAGGTGTTTCCACCTGGCCTAGTAACCTGGCACATGGTAAACTATTAATAAATGTCTACTAAACTAGTGAATGAATGAAAATTTGGAGGAGAGAAAACTCCTCTCCATGGATTAACGTAATTATCATTATAGCAGTTAACAACAAAGAACAGACTGTCTACCTTACTCAAACACAGAACTCGTGTATATTAAACAAAAAGCTTAAAATTTCAAATGTGTTTAAAGTCTTCGATTATAGTTATCAATATCGGTGGGAGCTCCAATTACATACACATATGCATTCTATGCATCTGATTCTAAATATATGAAGTAAGGAGATGACGAAGACAGAAGATTCATTTCTGTAAAGTCACTTCAGTCCAGGTAGACTGACAAAGTAGCTAGCCCACAAATCATTAGCCCCACCATATTTTATAGCTGAAATCAACGGTAGCTAATCATTAGTCAAATTTTCCGATAGCGGGCCTTAACCGTCAGAGCTGAAACCTAACAACCACTAACCACTTCTTCATTCACTGAAGTGAAGTCACTGAGTGACTATTCTAGGGCAAGCTGGAAGCTAAGCTAAAAAGACCCAATTCCTAGGGAGGAAAGGATAAAAACTGGAAATATGAAGGGTGATTTAAAGTGGATGTGGGGAGGGGCGCCTGGGTGGCTCAGTGGGTTAAGCCTCTGCTTAAGTCTCAGGTCATGATCTCAGGGTCCTGGGATCATGCATTGAGCTCTCTGCTCAGCAGGGAGCCTGCTTCCCCCTCTTTCTGCCTGCCTCTCTGCCTACTTGTAAATAAATAAATAAAATCTTTAAAAATAATAATAAATAAAGTGGATGAGGGCACAGCGCAGGCCTGTCCCATCTGGTGTGAAGCATGAGGAACATCCCCTTGAGACAATGATACCTGAGCATAACTCTAGGGTGGGGCAAGGTTAACTTCAAAAAGCAGGAGCACATCAGGTCATAGAATCCCTGAAAACCCAAGGCTAGCTTGGCAGGGGTGCCCCCACGGTAGGCTGGAGCAGTAGGAAAAAAGCTGAAAAGCAGTTACGGTAGATAACAGATCAGGAAAGTCATGGAGTCTTCCAAAAGTAAAACTTCTTCCAAGAAAATTAAAAATATTTACATCTCAACATTTTTGAAATGTTCAAAATGTTTACTCTAATTGAATTTTTTTTAAGATTTTATTTATTTGACAGAGAATGAACAAGCAGGGGGAGCAGCAGAGGGACAGGGAGAAGCAGGCTCCCCACTGAGCAGGGAGCCCAATGGAGGTCTCCATCGCAGGACCCCGGGATCATGACCTGAGCAGAAGGCAGACCCTTAACGGACTGAGCCACCCACGCACCCCTCTAACTGAAATCTTAAAGGTTATTTTTTTAAGTACACGAATCCAGATTGGAAACCACTGCAATAGAAAAACGCACCCTTCAATCTTTCCTTAGTTTGCTATCCCTCTCAATCTTGGTTCCTTGAGAGAATTAAGCCCTAATTAATGAACAGGGCCGTCAAGTGGAACGAGTGTCTCCTGACTCGCATCTAAGTGGTCCTAGCTCTGCACTCTCAGAATGGAGACAACAGTTACTCATTTTCGGTGGGTTATGGTATACCAACAGGGAAGGGTATCTGATGAGCTAGTAGCACCACAGAACTCCATACTTAGGCATACAACAAAGTATTCAAACCTGAGATAAGATTTTAATTCCCACGCGGGTGCTATGGTTTCGCACACTTAGAAAATCTTACTTTAACGCTAACCGACTTTCCGGAGGGAAGAGGAAAGGGAAACAAACCGATTAAAAGCAAATACTTCTAAGTGTTCATGAAAACAGTTATGTCAGCGGAAATCTGCGCAGACCGCACTGGGAGGTCCAGTCCCCCTCCAACAGCTGAGTGGACGGAACCGCGGTCCCCTTTACTGAAAGGGAACGGTTCTGCACAGACTGGACGACCGGCAGGCGAGCGGCTGCACCTGGCAGCTGTCAGGCTCAGCACCGGGTCAAAAACAAAGTCTGTGCGCAACCGAAGTCATACAGACGCGGAGACCATCCGTGGGGCGCCCTGGTGGGTAAAACTCGCGACCGACAGGGCCATTTTTGTGCCCTCAGAGATCTCGGAAAGAGACTGAGGATCTGCGGTCTTTCCGTGAAGTCAGGCTCAACCCGACCGCAGCCCGCAGTGGGGGAGGCCGTCAGAAGCGCACTCCAGGTGGGCAGCGCGGATCGCCAGACTTGCAAGGCAGGAGCCATGCCTTCCCATACCCTCGACCCGGCACGCCGGGGACAGGGGACGTGTCGCCGGTCGCAGCAGTTCCGGACCTCTGGTCCCCCGTCCGGGGTCCCCGAGGATATCGCACGCAGAGGTGCCCCCAAGCCCGCCCTCGGGACCCCAAGCCCGCGACCTCCAGCCTCGCATAGACCCGGCGCAGCGCGGGGCGGGCCGGCGCTTCCGGCAGCCTGAGCCCCGAGGCCGCGCCTCCCGCCGGCCCCGCCCCCCGCGCGCCCCCGGCCCCGCCCGCACCCCGCCAGCCCCGCGCCCGCCCACCTGGCTCTCGCCGACGCAGAAGACTCGGCCGCCGCGGCTCAGGCACACGCGGGCGTCCCGGGGCCGCGCGGCCGCGCCGCAGAAGGTGAAGGAGCAGCGCGAGGCGCGCAGCCGCTGCACCGTGGCGCGCACGAGCGCGGCCGGTCGGCGCCCCCAGCGCGCCCACAGGTACAGGTAGCACAGCGTGATGAGCATGACCGACCGGCCGGCCGGCGGCGGCGGGGCGCGACCCCCGCACGCTCGCACCTCGGGCGCTCCCCTCCCGCCCGGCCCCGCCCCACGCCCGCCCTGCGCGGGCCGGAAGAGGCCGCGCCATAGGGGTGAGGCCGCGCGGGCTGGGGAAGGCCGGCGGGGGCGGGAGCGGGGGTGGGGGTGAGTACGGAGGGAGGAGCGAGGCCTCGCTGGTGGGGGAGGGGTGGGGAGGGGTGGGGGAGGATGGAGGGAGGAGCGAGGCTTCGCTGGGGGCTGGCCAGGATGTAGGGAGGCCTCGCAGGGGCGTGGGTGGGTGAGGATGGAGGGAGGCTGCGCTGGGAGGAGGGAGGCCGCGCTGCGGGCAGCGGTGCGGTTGGAGGGAGAAGGGAGGGAGACCGCGCTTGCGGAGGGGGGCAGGAGCAGGGAGAGAGGAGGAAGGCCTCGCTTGGGGATGTTGAGGCTTGGAGGGAGGCTGAGCTGGGGCTGAGGGTGTGAGGATGGAGGGAGGCTGGGGGGCGCTAAGGTGGGGAACCGTGAGCTTGGGTGCTCCCACAACCCGACACTGGTGGGGGAGGGTGTGATGGAGGGAGAAAGGAGGCATAAGGGAAGAGGCGGCTGATAGGGTTGGCGAAGGACCAGGGGATTAGGCCCATTTGGCTGGTTTAAGCCAAAGTCCAGCTTCCCTTTCTTGGAGAGCTGGGAGGCAGATTGAAGAAGGGCCTGTGGGTATGTGTACATTAACTAGTAGTACCGTATGGGATTCAGCTAACACACGGCCTCTACGCTGTACTGCTGGGAAAATAAGGTGAGACTGGGTTTAATATATTATTCTAAGCCTTCTTGCAAAAAGGATTTTACAATAAATTACATAAATTCACAGTACAATTATACACACACACACACACACACACACACACATATGACTCTAAATATTTTAAAATAAGTACTGAAAATGAGTTGAAGATAGACCAGCACTAAAAAGACTGCCTGGTATTCATGTATATGTGAGTTACCAATGTGTGAGCATCCTAAAACCAGAAGAAGGGAAACTCATCAATTATGATTCAAGGTTCTTGTTCCCTAAGAGAAGCATAATTATTGTTGATGGTGACAGAGATTTCTCCCATGGAACCTCATTTGTTTTAAAAGGCATTTTGCAGGGTGCCTGGGTAGCTCAGTCCGTTAAGAATCAACTCTTGATTTCTGCATAGGTCATGATCTCAGGGTAGTGGGATTGAGACCGCTGTCAGGGTCCACATGCAGCAGAGAGTCTGCTTGAGATCGTGTGTGTGTGTGTGTGTGTGTGTGTGTGTGTGTGTCTCTTTCTCTCTCCCCTCTCCCTCCCCCCTCTCCCCACCCCTGCTACTTCCCCACCAGCTCATGTGTGCACTCTAATAAATAAATATATTTTTAGTGCTTGCTTCGGCAGCACATATAATAAATATTTTCTTTTAAAATAACAAAACACAGTTTGCAAAAAATCAGTGTCCCCAGCAACTCTGAAATGCAGCAAAGATTTTCCCTATGCTGCTTCCTACTCTGGCCTTTGCTATAAGTAGAAGGTCTAATGCAGTAGCAGTCAGGGACACCAATCCCAGGTCTTACTTAATCCAACGATAGACGTTTGAAGTGCCCTGACCATTTATTCATCTGCTTTAAATCAGTGGTCCAGAAAACCCACTTCTAGAACTTCAGATTTACAGTCAGGTGACAGAGGAACATTTTCTCAGTGTATACAGCAATAATAGATTTTAAAAGAGGGAGAGAATCGGAAAAGAAAGAATCAGCCTCAAAAACAAGGTAAGCATCACAGTAGACCAGAAATAGAAGGACAGTAAGTGATGGGCAGGGCTGAAGCCGTATCCTCCACTTCCCTGCAGGACAGTGGCAGTTGGAAAGGGAGTTCCCGCATGGTCACAAGGCCTAAAATTGTGTCATTGGGTCCTTGGAGGAAGGAAGGAATGAGTCCTCCTGAAGAAGGCCTTAGCCGTTCCAGGATAACACAGGCCTAACAAGTTAGGAATAAGAAAATGAAAAAGCTTTACAAAGTGATAAACCCTGAGGTTTTACCAGGCAAACCCTTCAGATAGCCTTCTTAGAATTAGCTGAATTATGATTCTAAGGACACACCCCCTCCACTCCAGCTAGGTATGAATAGGTCATCTCCTCTACCTGAAGGTCATCTCTAGTTCTTCCAAGTTCCTTAAGAGCTTTGCAGTCCCACCTTCCCAGATACCGTAACTCCATCGAGCTAGAATAGGAACTTTCCAGGTTAGCCCTTAGATGCTTCAGGATGTCATGGTCTCAGAAGACATCATGGGGAAAGGTAGGGGTCAATTCTGTGCACAGCTCTGGGTTATAAAGAATGGGGACCATGGTGGGTCTGAGAAGTTGGTGAACTGAGAAGTCGGTGAGGTCCTTTCTTGACCCTTGGACTGAGGAGCCCTGTTACCATTCAGACCCAGGAAGGAGCACAGGAAGGCAGAGGAGTAAGAGAAGTTAAACAGGCACATGGTGCTCTGTTCATGATCCCACCTAAAATAAGGATAACAGCTCAAGGATGGAGCTTATCATTCCTGGATAGCAAAGGAAAAGGGAAAGGATGCAAAAATAAGACATCAGGGGATCTCAGCTGTGTGCATACCTGATTCATCCCTTATAGTCCCTCGCAACTCAAAGTGTGGTCCCTGGACCAGCAACACTGGCATCACCCGGGAGTTCACAAGAAATGCAGAACCCCGGGCTCCACCCCAGACCCACTGAGTCAGCATCTGCCCTTCCACAAAATCCCCCAGGTGATTCACAAACATTAAAATTTCAGCAGCACTGTTGAAACCCACCTCTGTCTCTCCCTAGATTTGGGTTGCTCTGGACTCTCCACTAGACTATTCCAAACTGGTGTGGAGAACGGACTAGGAAAAGAACACAGACAAGGGATTCAGAAGCAAGACTGTCCTTCACTAGAACGTCACTGCAGAAAGGAATTGTGGCACTCACCTGCCAACAACCAACTCAGTAACCCATCACCATGCCTGGCTTCCTACAGGAAAAGCCAACTCCAAGTCTCCTGTCTGCCCCGAGGAGGCATGCCCTGGAAATGACGGTTTGGGGATAAGGCAGGGTGTTAACCAAGAGTATCCCTCACCCAGAGGAGCTGTCCTCCCCGCCCCCAGCCTCCATTAAATAGATCAACTGTTCCTCCCTAGGGGAAGCCTATCTTGCTGACAGTGGCTCTGTCTGCTCCCGGAAAGCACCCTGAACCCAAATGGCCAGAGCTGAATAGGACAGTTTGCCAAGGGATCCCAGACTAGCTGGAAGCGTTTAGTAGATGCTGAATTTTAAATAGGTCTCACTGTAAACAGCTCACATTTAGCAATGGAATTAGGGTCTCCACTTTATGTAGAAGAATTTATTCCCTCCACATCAGTGTTGGAGAGCTAAAAAAATTATATTCAGAGATCCCAGGGTCTCAAGAATGACCCATCTGTTTGAAAAAATATCCTCCATAAAAATGATTTAAATACACATTTAATGGAAATCATGAGGTTTCTGTTGGTAAAAGCTGTAACTTGAAGAGCTTTTCTTTGACTACTTGAACGTCTATGGTAATGTGTGTTTATGAGCCAGAAAGTGTCAGGGAAACTATCCGTATGTGCGGTTAACTGTTAAGTAAATTAAACTGTTTTAAACCAATAATCCTTTCCATTATTGTTTTAAACCCAAAAAGAAAAATTCAATTTGGATTGATAGAAACGAGCTACTGGCAAAAGAATAAATTAGAGCCTTGGGCTGTGATCAGGGAGGGCCTCAAAGGGGGAAAAAATTGTCATTTTAAATCTTGCTGATTAGGAAATTCCAGGCCTCATGGAGGTAGGAATCAAACAACCACCATCTCATCTTGGTCAAAGTTCAATTTTGGAATCCCAATTTTTAAAAACATTTGTTCCAAATAGGAAAATTTTGTATTAAATGCCTTGTAAAAAAATAAATTATTCCTTACATAATTAAGGAAGCTGAGAATGTATAATTTTTTAAAGATTTTTATTTATTTATTTGACAGAGAGAAATCACAAGTAGGCAGAGAGGCAGGCAGAGAGAGAGGGGGAAGCAGACTCCCCGCTCAGCAGAGAGCCTGATGCGGGGCTCGATCCCAGGACCCTGAGATCATGACCTGAGCCGAAGGCAGAGGCTTTAACCTACTGAGCCACCCAGGCGCCCTGAGAATGTATAATTTTAATTGCATTTTATTTTTATAAACTTTGGTTACTTTTCTAATAATGCTTTTGGAAGTTTTATATTTATCAGAACGACTCTAAGTTCTACACAGTCTGTAATTAGGGGCGCCTGGATGGCTCAATGGGTTAAGCACTTAACTTCTGCTCAGGTCATGATCTCAGGGTCCTGGGATGGAGCCCAGCCTGCCTGTGGAGCTCAGAGGAGTCCACTTCTCCCTCTCCTGCTGCCCCACCCCCTCATGCATGTGCACACTCCCTCTCTCAAATAAATAGATAAAATAAAATCTTTTTTTAAAAAAATACAGATAATAGAGGCACCTGGCTGGCTTAGCCAAAAGACACTTGATTTTGGGGTTGTGAGTTTGAGCCCCAGGTTGGATATGGAGGTTATTTAAAAAAAATAAAATGTCTATATATATACAGATAAAAAAGGCAAGATGTGAGTTGTGACCCAAGAATTAAAGGATGCTTTCACATAAAACCTTAAGAGCCTATATTTGATGTGTCATTATTTCTTAATTATATATATGCCAAATTAATTATATATATGCCAAAATACTAGCTATCTCCCTGCAGCAAAAATAAACATATCAACTGGTAGTAAGTAGGTCAAGATAAATGCTAACTGGGAAAACCATTTGAATTTATTCACTATAAATCTTGGTATAACAATATGTAATATATTGGTAAGAGAATGTTACATATATTTTAAAAGAACTAACTTTTAAGATAGGATTTATTTATCAACTACAAAATGTATTGATTCTAATATTAT